TTCAACAATACCCTGTGACTGCAGTTCAATTACTCACTGTCTACACACACATTACAATAATCTCCCGCGTCACGTTTTCCCCTCTTATATATATCCGCCTACCCTATCTAGCAAACACTAGAGCATTCGCCAAAGTACATGATAGTTCTAGAAACGTTGCGTCACAGTAGTCATGTGACTCGATGACGCAACAATTCTATAGATTTCACCAAGTCTCTGTATAATTACATTACCAACGACTCCCAGATATCTTTAATTAACAACATTAAAACATTAATAATATAGATTTCAACAAAACAAACAAATCATCTTTAAATTACTTCCTGTCATAAATACAAACCTTTCAAAATTCCGTGGCTTCTATATGTTGATTTTTGGAAACGTTTTCAACATCCTTTGTTAACTGAGTATGGAAGCATATTATGCTAATATAATAATAGTTGGCAAACAACGGTTTATACACATTATGCTTATAAATCTTTGGTTGCCAACTTTCTATCAATCTTTATCACTTTCTCCCCACTATTAACTTGTTCGTAAAAAGTACTTTCTATGATCATTTCAACTACACTGTCCTTCTTGATATGTAAAATTACATAATTTTCTAATGATGCAAACATATATACTTTGTACAGCTCTGATATTAGCATAATAATTTATATTTAGCGTGTGGATCAATATAATATAAATTGTTTGTTTTTTTTTCAGAGCAAAACCACATTGGGCTATTTGCTGTGTCCACTGTGGAATTTAAGCGTTGTAAGTTAGTAAACTTAATGCTGTCACATCGAGAGACATAACATAAATAATATATCTCAGAAGTAATATTATATTAAATGCCCCCTTGTTAGTGATGAATTATTTCCCTCTTTCTACGGCGGGTCTCGTAAATGTTACTCTCGTGCAGTCGTGCTATAATATATACAAACTTGTTCTTGGTGTAGGAAGCGGCAGATTTAAGCCTAATATTATAAATTTTAAGTGTAATATCATTGCGGCTTGATTTGTGTGTGTTGAAACTAGAGTAAACATGGTTATTTAAATGAAGAATGTACAAGATTGCTCTCCATTTTGAATTCTAAATCTTGAAGTTAGTAATAATAATAATAGTATGAATATGACCAACAAAAGGTATGCCAGTCAATGTTAGTTGTTACTCAACTTACTCCTGTTAATCACTTACTGTCAATGTCATGTTGATGTAACTTCAACTTTCATTTTCAAGTCAACTTGTACTACTACTCAGTACTAGTACTAGTTGTACATAGTTTTGTATAGAAAATGCTTGAAGTAGTAGTGCTTGTTAGTAGTTTAACAGTTTAACTTACCATTTAAGGAAACCAAGGGGCCGCAGTGTTACTGTTAGTCTATTGAGGTAGTTCAATCCACTGAACTAAATTAAAAATAAAAACAAACTCGAAGCTAACCCGTTTCATTTACTTTTTAATATTTATCAAGCCTTCCCTTAAATTTACTGAATCCACCACATTGGAAGGCAACTCATTTTAGAAGCCAGCCACTGATATAAAACTAAAAGTAAAACCATTTTAGCTGAAGATGAATCTTAATCATACCCCTGCCAAAAATGTATTTTTGTGCCCTCTTGTCCCGTCATTATCATTCTCACTATTAAGTACAAAAAAGAAAAAAAGATGTGTTTACACTATCATCAATTGAATTAACAATAACAATCTTAAATACCTCAATTAGATCCATTCTAACTTTTTTTTGTTTTTATTATAAAGAGATAACAATTTCAGTGATCTTGTCCTTGTGAGTTGTATAAAATTTTTCATCCCAGGTATAACTCTAGTACTCATTTTCATTACTATTAGGGAGACCCAAAGAATTATAGTTCCTGGCTACAGAAGTGTGTAAATGCAAAATTGCAGATGTGAATATATAAAGTTCACATAAATTAAATATGAATGATTTTACACCGAACAACAAATGGAAAACATCTACATTACTAATACACGCTGAATTGGCATGATTTATTTCAAGGAACCGTACACCCACTAGTTTGAAATCAGCTTAAAAAACTATCACGATTATCACTAAAGCTGTCATCCACCATTTGTCAGTGAGCGAAAGTTAAAACCAAAACCAACCTATCAATTCGAATTGGCTTGACCAATAAGTACCAGTGATACATCAAACGTTAACTCTTGTCATGCTCTACTTTGATCTGGCTGGTTTCATTAGATCAAAAAGTATTTACTATTTGAAAATGTACATATAAAACTTTAAAACCGTTTAAAATTCTATTTAGCTATTGAATCAATAGAAACAAGAGTATACAATATACTTGGTGTTGCAGACTACATAATGCGTAAACTGATAAATAGATATGTCTGCCCAAATCGAACCGACAGCATATCAGAAAGTTATGAATGGGGATTGTAACCATCCTATATGTTACCCTGGCAACTTGTTGCTTTATGTCATATTATCAGTCGTAAGCAGACTGTGTTGTCCTGACAGCAGTTTGCTCTACATCATATCATTGGGTGTGGTTACAGCAAAAGAATGTTTGCTGCAATTGTCTATGATGAAAATGGTATGAACAATGGCAGTCTCATTTATATATTAAATAAGAGTGTGACATATATATATATATATGTGTGTGTGTGTGTGTGTGTTCAATAATTAGAAATCACAACTCTAACTTTGAAAGTTAGGCAATCAATATCTGTATTAAATGGAAATGAAGTGCCTCACAAAACCGAATAAAGACTATAACATTAACACATTCCATGCATATTTGTGAATAATTATGCAAACAATTTTAGTTGAGTAAGGACAACACAATCTTGAAAATAGTTTTTCACCTGTGCTTTAAGAATTAATATAATTATCATCAATATAATATCCTAAAATTGAAACAAGTCCATTCCACGTAATGAAAGCAATATTGAATAGCAGGCAAATGTTGGAATGTAGTGTTACCAAAATACACTGCCTTGTTACCAGGTAAAGTGATAAGTCACTAACATTTTGTTAACATTGTTCCAAGGGGAAGGTAGCGAGGAGTGCAAGGTTGATTTACAGGTACAATTTTTAATTGTTTTTCATTAAATATGGAATAAATAATTGAACTTGCAGTGTAAATCTACTAATTTGTATCTGTGGAATCCAATGGTGTGTGAAATATTTTATTTTCATTATTTAAAAATCACCGAAACCCCCTATTACTATATATATATATAGAATGTAAAATCTTATTTGACATATCACTAGGAACAGCACGTTACTTGGGTGGCTTAAGAGACTGATTAAACAGAACACCAAGATGTTTTTCTTCCAAAACACTGTTAAGGTTATTCCCATGAAAATCATATTTTCATGTCAAATTATGATAACCCAAATGCATTACCTTGCATTTCTTGTAATTAAAAGCCATCTGCAGTTTACTTGTCCAATTCATCATATGATCTAAATCCTTTTGTAAAGCAATAGCATTCTCCTTAGAGTTAGTAATACCTGAAACCTTAATAATGTCAGCATACATAAGCAGTTTTTTGTCCATTCTTTCATCTACATCACTGGTGTAAGTCAAAAAAGAGCAGTGGTCCTAACATTGAACACAGAGATATCTCATTTGTTTTCATAATCATGTTTGAATAAACTACATTTATAATATAGCCCCATGATTTCTTTCATGCAGCCCCTTTTCTTTTCACTGAGCAAACTTAGCTCCAACACCAATAGATATTATTTGTTTAACAAGCCTTCTATGTAGTGCCTTATCAAATTATTTCTGAAAATCCAGATATACCAAATTCAGTTCTTTACACTTGTATATGCATGCAGTAACCTCTAAAGAGTGTTAAAAGATTAGTAAGTTAGTAAGACAAGATTTTTCCCGAGTAGAACTATATTGACTATCCAACAAAATTTGTAACTTTGTAAATGATTTTACAGAGTGTCTTGTATAAGACTTCCAAAAACGTTTCCCATACTGATGTAAGAGCTGTAATTACCAGTATAATTTTTATCACCTCTCTCAAAAAGAGCAATAACATTAGTCACCTTTCAATTTCCTGGCACCTCCTCACTATTCAAGGACTTACAAAAATAGTAGAAACTTTGGGGAAATGCATAGTCCAGGAGCCTTTTAATTCTTTGAACTTCCCAGTTTTTTATTCACAAGCTCAGGAGTAATGTTATCATTTTGTTAGAGGTTGTTTCCACCTAGCAACTGTTCAGAATAGGAATTGTGCTTAAATCTATTCATTATTAAAAATTTAAGAAAAAAGTAGAATTTAATAATCAAGCTATCCTGTAATCATCAGAAATGAGCTTTCCCTTATCTACTTGAAAGGCCCTACTCCAATTCTAACAATTTGCTTATCCTTAATGTATTGAAAGAAATCCATACTGTTAATTTTTACATTTATTAGCTAACAATTTTTATAAACTATTTGTGATTTTCTGATGTCCTGTTTGACCAATTCTTTATCTTTTATAATACTCTGTTTCCCATTATAGCAGTCAGTTTAAACTTTAGTTTATAATACATTTTTAATCTTATCTTTTATACCCAACCTGGTCTTTTACTAGCAGCCATCTCTTTTTTTATATATAAAGAACAAGTTTATCTTGAGTATTTAAAAACATTTTCCACAATTGATCATTATCTCCTGTTAATTCAGTTGCCCATTTTGAAACAGACAAATCTTGTTGAATTCCTAAAGCAGAGCACTAGATAAGGATGTGTACTGTGTATTCATATGTATTTTTCCTCAAAAAACTTATTTAAAAAAATCAGATCCAGGCTTACGAAAATGCTTTGAAAATCAGCTGGTACGGATTCACTGTTTTTATCTGCCGTAAATTTATGTACACTAATTGAGCACGTACGACTGGTCTCCAGCTATCCAAGTAAATATGACACGCTGCTTCAATTTTAGTGGAACCAGTCAGTCTGATGCAGTCCGAGTCAGCAAAAGCTTATTGATTTTTATTGACTTTATCAAGCACTCATGATACATGGATGACAAAAATGTCGTATCATTGACAGTTTAGTGTGCGATCAGGATGATATAAGAAGAATTACGTGACAAATATGAGCTCACTGTTCAAATATTTCACTCAACTTGGTAAAACTGAAGTCAGTGCATAGATTGTTCACGAAATCATAGATGATCTCATCATTGCTTGCACTGAACTTGGCAATCAAACAGCAAAGAAACACTCTAGGACCATTTCTGAAAAGACAATTCAGTCTTGGAAGAAAAAATTTTCATGGGTGGTGGTGGTTGGTGAAGGGGTAGATAAGAAACTGAAGTGCAGCATTTGCATAGAAAGAAAGGTGAGAATCATATGGGTGAATGAGGGATCACCTAATATTCAGAAGAACAGTACTGAGAGGCATGGGCTGTCTTCAGAACACCAGCAGGCCGAGAAAGGTTTATTGAAGGAATCTGTGAACAAGAGTAAAATGTATGACAGTGATGTTGGCAAGGAAGATAATTCAATCTCTGTATCAGATGATGACAGTAAATTGTTTCGTACAATATTTTATGTGTCAAAGGAGGAGTTGCCATCTAATAAAGTTTACTTGAGTTACAGAATTTGAATGGAGCAAATATCAAATATAAGAATTTAAGCCATGTAACAGTAAATGATATACAGCCATGTATAAATAGTTATTTAGAGGTCACCTATAGAAGAAATCCTTCAGTCCAATATAGAAACATTTATCAGTATGTATAAGGTATGTGAAGAATGGTAAAGTTCTTAACAAATGTAGCCACTGAGGATGGAAAAGTTCACACCATTATCAGTTGCCTGATAAAGTGCCTCACTAACCTCGGACTGACCCAGCTAAGATTGTTTCTCTAGCAACAGATGGTGCATCAAGAATGACAGGTAAAAAGACAGGTGTTGGTGTGCAAATTAAATCAAAGTACTCCCCCCCCCCTTGCAGTACAAACCCATTGTATTGCCCATCACCTAAACTTAGCTGTGACAGATTCATTTAAAAAGTTGGACATTCTCAAGATATTTAGAGATAATTTTAACTTTTTATATTATTTCAACCATACTTGAAAACTCAACAGTATTCAAAAACTGTTAGGTGAGCCTGAACTTACAATAAACGAGCCACATAGCATAAGATGACTTTG